CCACTTGAGCCACAGTGCCACTTCCGGCTTTTTTTCTTTTTGCTTATGTGGTGCTGAGGAATGGAACCCAGGGCCTCATGCATGCAAGGCAAGCAATCTACCACTGAGCCACCTTCCCAGCCCCTTAGCCTTTCTTTTTAAGGCTAGCTCTTAAGCCACATCTCCACTTGTGGCTTTTGCTGGCTAATTGGAGATAAGAGGCTCACAGACTTTTTCTGCCCAGGCTAGCTCTGAACTGCAATCCTCAAATGTCAGCCTCCAGAGGAGATAGGATTACAGGTCTGAGCCATTGCTGCCGGGCTTAATCTGACATTTAAAAAATTGTCTCCAGTTACTGAATTTTTTAAGTGAAGGTATGTGTCAAGGAAATCAAGATCCGTATTATTAAGCCAGAACCAGAGAATTAAAGGTGGAGGAAAGAGCATGATACATGCTTTGCTTAAGTGACTCACTATGGGCCACTGTAACCATCAGCTTCTGTTGGGCTGAACATGGGGATGCCAGTGCCTACAGTGTTAGGAAAGTGGTGAATCCATTTTCCCTTACTTCTGGTCTGTGGGAATTGAAGAGAGATTCCATTCTATTCCTTCAGATTGCTAAGGAATCTTCACATAGACATGCAACAGCATGTATATTCACATCTCATATAAGATGGACGTGGGGGAGGGCAGGCTGAGGGGACCATATTTGTTCTCATGGTTATGGCAATGTAAGGGAATGGGTAACATTTTTTACTTCTAATTCTCCTAACTTTTTTCCATACCTGCCTCAGTTCAGGAAATAAGAGGCTTTCCTGAATTCCTGCTAGAGTTGAGAGGTGTGAGGAGCAGATCATAGACTCTGCCAATGCTTTAAGAGCTGGGGAACCCCATGCAGGACACAAGGCTACTTGGAAAGTTAGCACTCTGCAGGAAGTAGGTAAAAGTAGAGGCCACGGAATGCAGACATTAAGACAACAGTCCCCCCACCTCATCCCATCGCCAAGTTGATTAACTAGATTCTTTTGCATGAAAACAAATGTATTTCATTCTTCTTCTATGTTAACAGCTGAATTAAAATTCCTTGAGAAGAGGGGTCACACTTTACCTTCTCTTGGGGTATCTCTACAGTGACTTGTTTTATACCACAACACAGGATCAAGAAAACACAATTGGTCTTCCATGTCCATAAAGTTGCATTTACATTGTAATACATATTAGAGGAGATCTAGAGATGATTTAAAGTACGCAATAGAATGAGTATAGGTTATATGCAAATACCACCTCTGCAGATTTTGGTATCCTCAGGGGGTCCTGGATCCAGTCTCCCAAGGATATTGGGGGACCCTACTTTGATTTAAAAGGTAACTGCCTGGTTGTTCACTAAAAGGAAACAGGTAATGGAGTCCTTACTGGAATCTCGACGGCCCACAGCTCCCCTCCGAGCTTACAGATCATCTGCATGGCAATCTTGGAGGCAATGCTCATCATTATCTCTGATCTGCTCAAGGTCTCAGCAAGCACACACTGGCTTGGGACTGGGCAGTCACAGCACAGGTATTTTTTAATGTGATCATAATAGTTTGGATTGGAAGGCAGAATGCACATCACCTAAAGGCAAAGAAAGCAACACAAGATGAAATCAGTTTACTTATGTCTGGGAAGAGTTTCTGGGAAAAAATGAAGCCTCTAAACATCTTTTGCTTTTAAGTTTCCAAGAAGCAAATATTAACATACCTACAGTTGTCTTAAATGGCCTTTAAATGAATCAAGGCAAAGCCCTTCTCCAGCCAGTCCTACCTATCTCTCTTTGCTTTCCCTTCCTCCTCACTTTTCTCTTGAATTAAATCTGTGTTGTTAAATTCTCTTCCCATTACCTCTTTCTCCTATGGTCAGCTGGGTTTCCATGGCTCTGCAAGACAGTAGTCCCTTTTGCAGGAAATGCACAACAAGTATTCAAGAGTAGCTGCATATACCCTACCCTCCAATAGTTTAGGAAATGGTACTAGCAAATATGGTAATGATAAAGAAATATGGTTACATGTCAGCCAAGATTCTGGGAAAGGTATATGGAAGTTCTTTGTATATTCTCACAATATTTCTGAAATTTTTATTTCATTTAAGTAAAACAAAGAGCACCTCATAGTGAGAATTCTATTCACTTAGTATAACACAGACATTTTTTTGTGTGTATGACTGAAAGAGAAACAGATGGCTAATACTGTTTTTCATGAGATATGAACAAGCATGTTGTGAGGTAGGCTAAGTGAACTGGGGAGGCTAAAGAGGAAGCAAAATATGAAGTAAAAACAATGTGGTATCTGGTAAGGCAGAGGTCTAGTAAGAAGAGTAGAAATATCTAAAATGTCTAAAAACTTGGAGCTTAGGGGTTAGAGGCTTGGCTTAGTTGGTAGTGCACCAGCCAATGGGTGAAAGTTTCAGATACAGAGTTTGAGTTTCAGTCTCAAACAACAACAAGAGAAATATGGAGTGTGGTTTAATCACACTTTGGCTCCAGTCTTACACATGCATGTAGTAGGTACAAACACACACATGCTTACACGTACAACTTTGAGAAATGAAGCAACTGCAAGTGTCCAACCTGGTGGTACAGTGCAAGAGGAAATGGCTTTCATAGAAGATGAAATACACAGATGGCAGGGTTTCAGAGGAAGCAGAAACTTGGAGCCACAGGTACCCTAACATTTATGAGAAGAAATGGAAGTCAATTTAAGTAAAAGATGACCCTCAACAAGTCAGAAGAAATGCAAGCAACAGAAGTTGACAGAAGGCTAACAATAAATATTTTAAACTGTTAGTGAAAACACTGATGAACAATAATATTTCTTAAGCCTTTTAGGGAAATGCACAGTAATTTGCAAGCCTACCATGGAACAGAATGTTCAAAAACATGTAAACTCTGCATCAAAAATATAAAAATGTCCTGTACTTACCAGTTGAACACTGGGGTCAACATGTAGCTGAATAGCTCTAATGAATGCAGCTACATTGTCTTGAACTTTTATGCTATAATAAAGAGATTAAGTTCTTCTTAGAAGCACATAATCATATGATATTAAAAGTCACATAAATGAATTTGCAAAAGACTAGTAATTTTAGGGAAAAAGCCATTAGGAAAATATAAAAATCTTTTGAATCTAAAATAGTTTCTCAAGATCTTGTACAAGATATACAATCAACATTTAGTAACCATTTTTATTATCATAAACATTGTTGTGAGGCCAATGACATTTTTTCAACTGCACAGAATTCCTTCAATGAATATTTATATTCAAAATTGGATTGAAAGTGAACCTTAGAAGTTTATCAAATTCTAAAGCAAAGCTCACATTTAAGCAGAAATATGATTTCTCTAGTACTGACTCTCTAATACAATTTTAAAATGAAAGTTTCAGAAATCATCAAGTTAGTGAAGCGAAGGTATTCAACTATGTTCCTGCATAATTCAAGAAAATAAAAGGGGTGGTTTGTTTGGTTTGGTTTGATTTTTTTTTAGCCACAGTGGTAACTTTTTTTGGAGCCTGGTCTAGGCAACCTTAATCAGTCAATTGTGTAACATTGTGTTAGGGGCCAAAGGTTACAAAAATAACTTCCATTTAAAGAACTTCTTACCCTTCCAATTAGGAATTTCATACCTTCACAACAAAGAAAAAGAAGTAACCATAGTTTCATAAGCATATCAAGTTAGATATAAAGAGATATCAGCAATGAATTGATTTCTAAAGGAAAACTGCTCAATTTTGAGTATGTGGTCCCTTATTAAGTTAAATGTCTGTGTTTCTTATTCTCAGCCACTACTCAATAAGTGTTCAAAAAATAGGTGGCTTTACCAAAAAAGCCCTTTCTAAATAACTTTATGTAACACAATCAACAAAACTTATTTTAAGTAGTATGTTTGTGTGTGTGAGTGTGCACGCGGTGCATGCTCATGTGCGCATGCATGCATGCCCTCTTATGGCTTTGTAGTGGTTAATTGGAGATATGAGTCTCAAGGATTTTCCTGCCCAGGTTGGCTTTGAAAACCTTGATTCATGGATCTCAGTCTCCTGAGTAGTTAACATTATAGGTATGAGCCACTAGCACCTAGCTAGATTTGTTTATTTTTAAATAAACTCATTTAAATTTTTATTTATTTTTTATTATTATTTATAATTATTATTTAGTTTTAATTTTTGTCAGTCATGGGGCTTGAATTTGGGGCTTAGGCCCTGCCCCTGAGCTCTTTTGATCAAGGCTAGTGCTCTGCTCCAGTTCCAGTTTTCTGGTAGTTAATTGGAGATAGGAGTCTTGTAGACTTTCCTGCCCTGGCTGGCTTCCAACTGTGATCCTCAGATTTCAGCCTCCTGAGTAGCTGGGATTACCAGCATGAACCACCAGTGCCCAGCTTTTATTTTGTCCTTGTTATTATAAAGGTGATATACAGAGAGGCTACTATTTCATAAGTCAGGTAATGAGTACATTTTTTTTGGAGAATGTTGCCTCTTCTTGTGCTCTCTCCCAGTTTGGAGTTATTTCTATAATTGAATTTTGAAACATCATAAAATCTATCAAGTAAATCATGATATATAACATTTAGTTTTTAGTATCCTGTTTGCTGTTAAGGTTCATTAATAACTGATAAGAACAAAAGTATAGATGGCAAAATATGGATAACTAAGGATTAATACACAACTAATCTGAGTGCCAGTAGCTCACTCCTATAAGCCTGGTTATTTAGGAAGTGAGATTTGAGGATCACTGTTTGAACAGAACCAAGGCAGGAAATTATGATTCAAAGCCAGCTTAGGAAGGCATATCCGTGAGACTCTTATCTCTAATTAACCACTCAAAAGCCAGAAGTGGAGGTGTGATCCAAGTGGGAGGACACCAGCCTTGAGTGGAAAAGCCCAGGTACTGGCAAAAAAGATTTATTATGCCCCAACCAATACTGAAAAGATTTTGAGGTATGAGACTTTCCCAAGGACAACTGTGAAAATAAAGTTTTCAAAGATCAAGGTTAAAACATGTCTATCTTTATAAAATAATGTTATCAAATCTCTCTTCTTGAAATGAATTTCTTAATGTATTATATTAAAAAATTTATACTAAAACAAAGCTTTTGCAGATAATGCCAGCCATTATTTCCTGCCTTCTAAGCAAACCAAATTGATATATTGAAAGTATTAAGTGTCTTCTCACATTTTAGGGTAGTCCACATTAAAGCCCATGGAACTTCCGACTCTTCTCAAACACCTTGGAAAACTCTGGATCACTTTCTCAGTTCTGTTACTACATAAAATCAACCATTTATTCAAAGACGGTGCACTTAGCATCTTGCAGGTTTGTATATCCTTGGACCAATCAGCAGCAGACACAGGTTGACACTGAGAAAATAAAGATCATAAAAGGATTAGACAGGTTTATTTAGACAGCAATTAAATTGAGACATGCTGTTTATTAAAGCAATATGAAGACTAATCTCTGACCATGACCCTAATGGAGGCCTACATTTTAGTGCTTTACAAGGTTTTGGAAATTAGTTTTTCCCTCAGCTTTTCCAATAAGGGTAATTTGGATAGATTATCAAAAATAAATGATGAAAAATTTCCACATGCCAACACAAAACATTTGATGTTCAGTTACATTAGTTTAGAGACATGCCACATAAAGACAAGAGAACCTTTAAAAGTGAAATGAAATACAACTGGCCTTAAAGGGAAAAAGTAAAGAATAATGTAATTTTTACATGCAATATGTTCATTTTGCCAACTGAAACTCACAAGTGGCAGCAGATTGTTTCTTCAGGTTTCAGTATGCCTCTTTTCATAAGTAATGTCTGGAGTGAATTTCTTCACTTTATGCCAAATGGCTATCATTTAATAATTTGAAAGATTAACAGACACAACTGACACAGCAACTGAAAAGCAACTGTGGTAAAAGGAAACATAGTCTATTAGAGTTATCTTTCACCAGGAAATAGAATTTTCTCAAGTAGTGGCCCTTCCTTCCTTTCCTTCCTAGAATGGCAGGCAATAATAGGTCTTTTTTTAAAAAATTTGAATGGTTAAATACATCATTTTCTAACAAACCTAAACTGTATCTCCTGGGTGCTGTATGTCCAGTAAAGGAAGTCTGGTAAAGTCCTGAAAAGGAAATCATGGAGGACCTTAAGTCTTAAGAAAAAAGGGAAGGCAGAGCAGGGATATGACCATGGAGAAACATAGCAAATATTACAAGCCCTCTGTCACTCTGGCTAATGATCAAACATACGTATTTCCAAATAAAAATAAAATCACAGCACTTACTATGTGGTCTTGCATTAATATTTTTTCTGAAGGCAGAATCCGGCCTGTCAGAGATACTTGGCTTCCAAAGTTTATTCCCCAGGTCTCTAGCATAAATCGAGCAGATTCATTTCTGTGGGCAGAATTATTTTAAACCATTAGAGTGTTTACTTCCTTTACAGATTACTGGATTATTTGGGTGCCAATTTTCTGTCTTTAGTATTCCTAGCTCCTATTTCTTGTCATTTTTTTCCTGCTAAAAGGAATAGCGAAAAGTTGTGCTTGTTGGGGTTACTCAGGGATGAGAACAAGTTCCCCTGTGAGCACTGACTGGAAAAAATAGCTTTTGAGCCTGGGAGGCCTGGGTTTAATGCCTAGATCTATCCTGAAGAACATGTGACCTTGAAACACTATTACTGGTTTTCTTACCAGTCAAAAGGAAAGTGGCTACTTCATAGACTTGATGTGAATAGGCCAATACCTAAGAAGTGCTTATCATACTGGCTGGCACATGTTGTAAGTGCAATAGGTGTGAGATAATATTCTTAATAAATTCTTAACAAAGCAATACCACAGATCTTCTGAATGTGAAACTCTTGCCTAGGAGAGAGTAGATGGAGGATGAGAAAGGAAGGGAACATAAAGATTTAAGTTTGAGATTCACAGACTTGACAGGGAAGAATATGAGGAGATTAGCGGTGGCATCTTTGATTTTGTAACTTACTCAGCTTCAATCAGAGTTTGGTGTCATGGTCTAGGACAGAGAGCAATTTCAACTAAGCTGTAGCTCCTTGAGAGCAACCACCATGGATCCTGTCTCCTGTCCCCAGCATGCTATAGGCATGCACTCACAGGACACAGATGAGGTCTACACTTTGATTTCCTGGTAAAGGTCCATGTCTTCCTTAGGGAAGTTAAACCTCACCACTGTCACACCATAATTGCCCATAATTTCTTCCATCTACTAACTTTATCTCTGAATCCTTTGAATTAATAATTTTCTTCAGAAGTATCTGCCAAAGATGAGATGGGGATGGCCATCAGCAGCCAGGAAACAAAGTGAAATAAATGGTGTTAGTGAGATTTAGCAGGTGGATGAATCAGGAAGACTAATCTATAGACTCATATAAGAAAAATGCACCAAAATCTTTTCTTGGCTATGTGTAAATCAAGGAGATGTCCAAAATAAATGGTAAATGTGTATCAATAGAATGGAACCTATGAATCCACTAGGATGATACTAGAGATGCACATTCATAATATATAAATACTTAAGAAAATTCTTTAAATGAAAAAGATGGGAAGGAAAGGGAAGGGAAGGGAAATAAAAGTAATTTATTCAACAATGATTCAATGTTTTATTAAACCAATAATTACTGAGTTCTCTCTCCTTCTTTCCTCTTTCATCATTAGTTTATGTAAATTTCCAAATTCTTCCATGAGCTACTAAAAAAAATGAAGCTGGGCACTGGTGGTTCACACTTATAATTTTAGCTACTTGAGAGGCTGAGATCAGGAGGACTGTAATCTGAGGCTGGTTTAGGTAAAAAAAAATCACAAGACCCCTTCTCCACTGAGAACTGGGTACAACAGTGTGCATCTGTCATCCTGGTTATGTGGAAAGCTGGCAATTGGAGATAGCAACTCTAAACAAGACTAAGCAGAAAAGTCTACAAGGCTCCCTCCCTCCTCAGGGTGTGAGGCTCCCTCCTCAGTGAGAGAAGTGGGGAGTGGGGGAACAGGAACCTCAGTAGCAACAGGAAGTCTGGAATATGTGGCGTGCAAACCAACTATGTGCCCATGCAGGAAGCAAGGCCTTATTTCATAAATAAACAATACAACTTTATCTTTCATTGGGAGGCCAAGTGGGGAACAGAAATAGAGGGACAAGGGGTGACCAAATGCAGCAGTAATACTCACTGGACATTATGCTAAAAATAAACTATACAACTTGTGGGTGGAGACAGGAGGGAAAAACTGGGAGAGAGCAAGGGAAGGGGTGATACTGTCCAAAAAGAAATGTACTCTTCACTTGACTTACAAAACTGTAACCCCTCTGTACATCACCTTTATAATAACAATAAAAAATTAAAATAAAAAAATAACCAGCACAGCAAAGGGCTGAAGGCATGGCTCAGCCAGTAGAATTCCTGTTTATCTGCACTGAGACCTTCCATTCAAGCCTTAGTGCTCCCAAAAAGGACAAAAACAAAACAATTTAAAATTTCCTACTACACTTTAACAAAAACAAATGACATCATATAAACATGCTATTTGACCTAATATATCCAAAATATTGTCACCTAAAGATGTCACTGACCACATTCTAAGTGCCCAGATCTAATGTATTAAACATGAAAGCTTAGCTGTCCAGCTGAAGCAGAGTTCAAAGCTTACCAGCACAGGTTCTCACTGCTGCACTTCAACCTGAGACTGCTCAGTATCTGGGCTGACCTGCTAGACTCCAGACATCAATGTCAGGAGCCATCAAGATGAGACATTTTCATCAAGGAAGAAATGTAAGAGCAACCCAATACCTCTGGATGTTGTCAGCCAGCCTGTCCAAGTGCTGCTGCCTGCCCAAAGGACTCAGCCTCATTTCTGCAGCCATGGTCTCCATCAGTTCAAAGTCAAAGACTTCTTGGGCAGTCAGGCCTGAAAAATACAGCAGCATTTGTAAACACACAAAAATCAACTAAGGGTCATTTTGGTGTCACGGTAATAATATACGTAATGAAAAGCAAAATTATATTGGTCTCCCTGCTACCAAATCCAAACAATTGCTGGGTGCTGATAGCTTACTCCTGCAATCCTAGTGATTCAGAAGGCTGAGATTTGAGGATCACGGTTCAAAGCCAGCCTGGGCAGGAAAGTCCATGAGACTCTTACCTCCAATTACCCACCAGAAAACTGGAAGTGGATCTGTGGTGCAAAGTGACAGCGTGCTTGCCTTGAGCCAAAGAGCTCAGGAACATTACCCAGGCCCCAAGTTCAAGCCCCACAACCAACAGGAAAAAGAAAAAAAAACTTGCAAAAAGCAGCTTGATTTTAGAAAAATATCTAGAGATCTACTTTATACGAAAGTAACAAGTGGAATACATGGGATAGAGAAAATAGATTTCAAATGGCACTATGTCCATTCCCCTTGTCTTTACTATTGAGTACATTACTTTAAAATAGCCATTGTCCAGGATTTAATTAGTTGCCCTGCCACTCATCTACCATTAAGAAGTGTGTTCTCACTGCTAAGATTCAGGAGCCTGTGGTGTGCAGCCCAGCAGAGTTTTAAAACATAAACATTACCTGTTAGAAAGCAAAGCTCAGGTATCAGGTGGACAATCTGAGGTTCAGTGTTGTCATTTCTCTTGCTTTTAAGCAGACTAACAAGCACTGGCTGATTTAGGTCAGATAAAGTAATACCGTATCTCTATAAAATGCAAGATTGAGGGGAAAGTTAATATGGAAACACTGCAAGAAAGAAGCAAATCCCAAAATGTATACATAAATGAGCCTTTTTAGTAGTAGAATAAAATATCTCTCAGTTTCTTGAACTTTACAACTTTCTCTTAAGGACTTGTTCTTTTAAATATAAGGTTCAGCTTTAAGATTTTAATTATCTTTTATAATGTCACAAGACTTTAAAAAGCCATTAGCATGCTCCTCTGGGTTGTATCCATATTCAGAATAGCCTCCAGCTGATTTTTACATAGTCCAGTGACTTTCCCCAGGGCTGACTCAATGCCAGTGTCTAGAGCTTCTAGAGGCACTCAGAGACCATCAATAAATATCTTTTGAGAATATGCTACATGCAAGGAACTGTGCTAACTGTGGGTGTCCAGAAATAAGAAGCTTAAGTCACACTTTAGAAAGACTAAAGTTTAAGAGAGATCAGACTATTCGTATCTTGCTTAAGATGATCTAATGTAACTAAATTTATTAAACCCTCGGAAGAGAATCATAGAGCTTCCCTGAGAGGCAATTGCTGAGCTAAATAGCGAAGAATATTTGTTGTCTTGTTTAAAACAGTAGGGGGAAAAAAGAAAGCTATTTTTGTGAAAATACACAGGAGAGAAACAGCCAAGAAACAGGGAAAGGACAGAATACAAGAGATGAGGCTTAAAGGCAGAGGGTGACCAAATAAATGATAAAGGATTTTGAAAGGCCTGTAAGGCATTGTTGGTTCACACCTGTAATCCTAGCTACTCAGGATGATCATGGTTTGAAGCCAGGCCAGGCAGGAAAGTCTATGAGACTCTTATCTCCAATAACCACGCCTTCAGAAAAAAAAAAAAAAAGCTCACAGACAGGGCCCAGACTCTGAGTTCAAGTCCAATTACTGACAAAAAAAAGAAAAAAAAGAAAGGTGTGCAGAGCCCATATTTAACTACCAAAGCAATAACAAAAATCATGGATTGTTTCAAGATTGTAAGTGACATTATCAGGAGAATTTTGAGACTACCAAGAAGAAGCAGGAAGCAGAATGAGAATCTCAGCCCAACGAGGGACAGGGGATGGAGAAGAAGGGTCAAGATGTAATGTTACAGAAGGCAGACTCAGCCTGGCAATTTGGGGACTTTCCTGCATTGGGAAGGAATATGAGAAGTTCTCTTAGCTAAGAGGAAAGGAAGTATACATATTTTTACCTGCACGTAATAATCCACATAGGAGATCTCTGAGCCGTCTCGCCTCCGGAAGGTGTGCACCGGCTTCAGCGACCAGTTGATGTTTTCAATGCGGTAGGTTCTGTTATTGTATCTGGTAAACACAGGACACTTTTTAAAAAGGTTTCCAGATCACTCAGATAAACAGTTGTTTCACCACACTTGTACCTCAAAGTGTAAGAAAGACTCCAGAATGTCAGAAATTATAAGACAGTAACATAAGATAGTTGCTTTTTGTGGGGGGGCATGATCAAGTCTTACCTAACTAGAGTATTACCATTTTGGCATAGAAGATCTTGTATTCCAACAAATCCAGTGAAAAAGTTGGTAGAATACAATGTGTGTTTCTCATTGACAGACACTCTAACTTCTGTTAAATTGTGGTTAAATGTTCAATTGAGGAAGCATTAGTTTAAATTTTCACATCTGCTCTGATGTCATTCAATGTGTTCTGAGACCAGGAATCCTTTCTGATAAAAAATACCAAGTAGGTTAACCAACCACAGAATTTTCCCATCTTGTTTAATCAATGTGGGACCACTCTGATTAGCCTGCAACATTTTGTCATGTGCCTCAGCCTGCAGGAATCTCCAAGGCAAGTTTCTCCAGAGAGCTAGGTATCCTGAAAGGCTGTTTATTCAAAGAGTGTGGTATGCTAACCCATCAAGATCTTGATAAAAGCACAGAGGAAGGTCTTCTTGGCTCAGGTAGTATGGAATTCAACTAGTTCTACCCCTCTCCTATATGACCCAGAAAGTAACTTTAAGTGAAAATTCCAAACCAGGATAGGTGAAGACTACCACGGTTACTAAAAGATGCCTCTTTGAATCAGCAAAACTATATGTTGTGTGGGCAGGGAGAGGAGGGGAAACTGGGGAAAGCAAAGGAAGGGATGACAATGTCCAAAAGAAGAAATGTACCCATTACCTGACTTATGAAATTGTAGACCCTCTGTACTACACCTTAAAAGTAAAAAAATTATTTCTTACAAGGTATATGCTGATACTCAGGAGGCTGAGCTCTGAGGATCACAGTTTGAAGCCAGCCTGGGCAGAAAAGTCTGTGAGACTCCAATAAATTACCCAGGAAAAGCCAAAAGTAGTGCTGTGGCTTAAGTGGTAGAGTGAAAGAAGCTCAGAGACTGCGCCCAGGTCCTGAGTTCAAGGCTCAGGATCAGAAAAAAAAAGTATATGCTGGGTTTTTTTTAATTCAGGTCATTTAACCCACCAATTTTTAATCCAGTTCAATGTGCATGGAGGGAAAATTATATATAGATAAATGTAGAGGTTTACAAAAAGTGGTGTGCTCTTGATCTAAAAGACCTTGAATCTTATAGAAAAGGTGAGCTATGGAGCTATGGATCTCCTGTTCAGTACTGGAATAAAATGCAATATAATGACCATCAAAAGTTGGCTGAGAGCAAAGTGTTTATGGGAGTAGGCAGGTGAGAAAAAGACTTACTTCATCTGTGGAGGTGAAGATTTGAAACACAGAACTTGGGGTAGAGAACCCAGGCAGGAGCACTAAAGTAACAAAGTTCAGGCTGCTGAGATCAGAACAGAAAAAGGGGATACAACAGGTAGTAACATGCCAGTTTGGGACAGCCTGAACTTTAGACAACAGAGAGTAGCCACACCTTCTGCACAGGTGGCCAAACTTGTGCCATGGCCAGTGCTCTAGTGAAATTCTTATTCACAGAGAACTAAGTAATTCACTCTATAGAAAACATTGAGTAGATTTTTTTACCTTGTAAGGACAACGCGCCCTATAAGCTGTTTCTCACATATCTGGGTGAATTCAGACATGCCAGCGCTGTGCTCAAGATCAGTCAAAAGCTCCAGAACACTTTTATTCCGGAGGATTTTATAATTCACATCAGCACTAAACAGGAGGCTGCTTTCATAATGTGACACAGAAATGGCAAACCCAGGCCAAAGGGATAATCTTTAAAAACATAAAAGAAGAAAAAATATCATATTTAAAATGTTATACCAGAAAAACAATAAAGATACTTTTGTGTGTGTGTGTGTTGTTTGTAGGGCTGTAACTCAGGGCTTAGGCACTGTTCCTTAACTCTTTCGCTCAAGGTTAGCGCTCTATCACTTGGAGCCACAGCTCCACTTCTGGTTTTCTGGTGGTAAATTGAAGATAAGTCTCCGGGACTTTTCCTGCCCAGGCTGGTATTGAACTGCGATCCTCAGATCTCAGACTCCTGATTAGCTAAGATTACAGAGATTTTTATGTAATTATTTTTCACTCTAATTCTCCACAGATAACTTTTTCTTTAGTGTGATTTATTCCAGTTGCTAACTAAAATTTTTATTTTCTGTTGGAGTGTCTGGCATACGTGTAGGACAAATCTATTCCTGGTAAGGCCGTTTCTCACTTTGGCACTAATGGTATTTAGACTGCATAATGCTTTGGTAGGAGCTATTCTTTGCATTGTAGGATGGTGGGCAGCATTCCTTATCTCTACCCACTGGATTTCAGTAGCATGCTCCCAGCAGTGAGAACCATTTTTGTCTCTGTATAATCCAAGTGGCAGGTGTGGGGAGAGGATAGCAGCATGTAGAGAGGCAAAGATGCTGTAGAAACAATGTGTTAATAAAACCATCTGTCCACACATGTGGTTCAGCAAAATGCACCCCTTCCAGCTGAAGGCAGTGGGTAGATTTAATCGTGAGATTAAGACATACAAAAGTGAAATGAGATACTGGTCTATGAGACATTCATCTCCAGTTAACTGCCCAAAAGCTCAAAGTGGAGGTATGGCTCAGTGGTAGAGTGCTAGCCTCGAGTGAAAAGCCAAGGGAGAGCTTGAGGCCCTGAGTGATTTCATTTGCAGATATACGGAAGAAACCAAAGTCCAGCTATAGTTCCTTTCTATATGGACTGAAAAATCTTGAATAAGAAGTTATAGAAATGACATGAACAAATAGACAAGGCTTGTTTAAAAAGAATTCTAGTTTATCCTTTGTGTGTAGCTTGCTGTGATACTAGGCTAATCTGCAGGACAAGCATATGTACTGGGCACTTGTTGTAACTTAGCTCAACACTGAACCTATGGATATTCCTATCCACACAGATTTTCAATCCTTTATGCACTTTGTTTATGTATCTGTCGTTTGTAGGCTAGTTGCTTATTTTTAACTTGATCACAAAATTCTGGAGACAGCCAGGCACTGGTAGCTCACACCTATAACCAGACCTACTCAGGAGACAGACGTGAGGATTCCATTTTGAAGCCAGTGGGAAAGACAAATCTGAGTTGTTCTTATCTCCAATTAATTAGCAAAAAATGGAATTGTTGGCATGGCTTGAGTGGTAGATCACCAACATAAGAAACAAACAGAAGAAATAAAGTGAGAGTGAGGCCTTGAGTTAAAGCCCCAGTACCAGCATATCAATATACACAAATATATATAAACACATATTTAACAATTTTTAGTCACATAATATATATGAGAATAGAGAATATCCATATCTGTTATACATATATGTAAATATATACATATGTACTTTTTTCCTAGAGTGCTATGTATCAACCAGTTTAATGTAATACAGAACAAGAATATGTTATAAATATACATATAATATATATTAAATATACATTGTATATATGTGTATATGTGTTTTTTCTGGAGAGCTATGTACCTACCAGTTTAAGGTAATAAAGAGTAACAGAGAACAACCATGTGTATTGTATATATATATATATATATATATATATATGTATACATACACATGCACACACAAATCTACATTAAATGCACATTATATATGGGTGTATATATACATATATATGGATTATATTTGTTTCTGGAGAGCTATGTGCCAACAAGTGTAAGGCAGGATTGACACTTTCCCTGCAGCACCAACTTTCCAGTTTAGGAATAATATTACACAGGTATTCAGAATGATTTTGCCTTCACTAAAGTAGCTCTGTTGATTTGTCTGACCTCTATTTACCCAATGATGTCATGTCAACCATCGTGAATGTTTAACTTCAGTCAGACCACAGAAAACCAGCTATATGTTACAACACAGTTCAGCTTATTCTTTTTCATTTCATTTTTATATTCAGAAAATTCAGTTTCTGGATTCCTTCTAGAATTCATTATAATGTCCTTGTACAGAACAATATAAGGCTTCAAATTTCACTCTACTATTCTATAAAAATATTCAAAAATTATAAAAGTCCATTACATTCCAAATTACAGAGACTCTCACAGGAGGCATAATGTTATACTGCATTACAAATGATCCTACTCACATTATGAGCATTTCAGAGGAACAGAAAATATAAACTTACCTGTGCTGGGGAATTTCCACTGCCTCTGAGAGCTTATAGAAGTTCCGTCCAATTCGGCACGTGAACAACTGTTTTAATATCCTGCAAGGGTATTTTTTGAGTCTTTGGTAAATATTAGTCAATAAAGTGTAATTCTAAATTGGTACTCAAACTCAACACAAAATACTTAGAATGAGTAGAATTTTCCTACTAGAATATTTTGAGACTAAATATCCATCTATATTTGGACTGTCACTTCATATTTGAGAATGACATAATGAAGTTACTTTTCTCTAACTGAGAGCTTAACTGCAATGATCAATTTGTGATCCATTATAAACTACAACTATGGTTACTGTGACATTTTAGTTAGCTGGAAAGGGTGAAGCAACCCACTTCTTCCCCATTTTGAGAAGAGGCAAGTATTTTTGATATAGCTGTTCAAGCTGCCCATGGGTCTCACATCTCTGGGGTGACCCCTTTGCCATTGGTCTGGTCACCTCCAGTAATTCAGATCACAAAAAGGAGGTGATCACATTGGGGGGTATAGGAGAGTTTGAGTCCAAGTCAGAATGCAAGGGTTCTACCTCTGTAATGTGGGCTACCAAATGTTACAAGCTCAAGTCTCACTTATTATTTCTTTATTATCTTTATTGTGGGGGTACTGTGGCTTGAACTCAAGGCCAGAGCACTCTCCCTGGCACTCTACCACTTGAGCAACATCACAACTTCCTGCTTTTTGCTACAGATAAGAGTCTCATGGACTCTTCTTCCCAGGCTGGATTTGAACCACAATCCTCCTATATCAGCCTTCTAAATAGTTAGGATTATGGGTTTCAGCCACTAACCTGAATATTATACTCTCCCTATTTATAAAGTAGGATTCCTATAACAAGTACCTTCCTCAGGTTGCTCATGTAAGAACATTATAAGATAAAACAACTGAAAATGCTTTGCCATTAGAAGGCATCTTACAAGTGTCAACTGATTTAAAGTAATTCCCCTCAGAGGGGCATGAGCCAGAATGGCGTCTGAAAAGGTAAATGTCAGACATGATCAAGAGAGACTGGACAAATTAGTGTTAGAATTAGGAAAAAAGTGTATTTGTATGTGGTGTTTCATTATGTGCACCCACTACTGGCCAAAAGTAAAACTTCCCTGAGTCCATCCTCTCTGGAGGCTGGACTGGGCAAATGGGTGGTTGGCTAAGGTTTCTAAGCAGCTCATCAGAATGACTCACACAAGCTACACAGAACTGCTCATATGCTTTAGAGTATACATTTGTCAATTTGTCATCTTGGAAGCACTTTGATTCCCAGGCCCCACTCATGATAGTCTATGTATTAGATCCAGTGATTAGCTAGAGAATTTGCACTTGATCAAATCCTATCCAAGATGATTTTGGAACAAATGATCCTTAAGTTACACCTGAAGAACATGAATAGTTCCTTCCTTCTACCCCAGGTGTGTATATGACCAAGGGAAGGAGAAAGAGGGTACTGCCCGGACATATGGCAATTGACTTTTATATTCTAGTCAACCAGCTAGGACAAAAATAAATCCTTCAGTTGATTAAGGCAAACACAGTGAACTCTAGGGGTCAAGATGTAATGGAGTACTAGAAATGAAGAAAAGCAAAAAGGCACCCTCCTTCTACTAATGGGATGGCAATAACCATTGAATGCCTTGTCTCAGCTCTGATAATACTCAGTTCTGATAATGATGATTTGTGTTAACAAGAGACTGTGACAGATTTTTGAAAATTACTGTCAAGTACATAAAAGTAGGTAAAAAAACTGCCCTAATGATGATGTTGTTGCTGGAGCACAGCCTACAAATTGTTAGATTAAAAAGGTACATAGTAAACGAGCTCACTCCTGTAATCTTAGTTACTCAGGAGCCTGAGATCTGAGGATCAGAGTCCATCCTGGGCACTCAAAAACCACAAGTGGAGCTGAGGTTCAAAGTGGTAGAGCACTAGCCTTGAGCAAAAAATGCTCAGGGACAGCACTCAGGCTCTGAGTTCAAGTACAAGCCCCATGAGTGACCAAAAAAGTGGGGAGAGATAGTAGACAATCAGATGGCTCAACACCAGCATAGGTTTACTCAGAAAAAGCCAGATAAGGGGAGGGGTAAGGCAACTACTTCTAACTCAAAGCACTGGTCTGGAGCTCATTATAAGGACTTGGCATTCAGATCTAACACAAACAACTGAACATTTTAATTCCCAGGCTCCATGCTGAGAGGTATCGATAGTCCAAATTAAATTTACATTTAAAATGCCTTACTTTTTGAAGATGATATTGAAGAAGTGGATGCACACAGGAGAGCGTAAGGGCAGTTCACACATTAGAGTGATAGTCATCTTTATGGTCTCATCTCTGTGAGTTTTACTTGACAGTTCTGTGACCTGGGAAAACAGGCATTTTAAATGCACACTGTTGGGCATCCTCAAATATTCATGTTTAATATACATGAGTGAAAACAGAACTCCAGATGTTATTATATAATTAATAACTTAATGCTTACATTATGTTGGGAGGGCTTTTATTTCCTTGGTGTCTCATTATATATATATATATATATATATATACATACATACATACATATATACATACATACATATATACATATCTATCTATTTGATCTATCGCTCTATTCTCTAACATAATGAGAGAACATTAAAGCCAGATTCATAGCGAAAAGATTTGATACAAGAAGATTCCAGAACAGTAGACTGTAACCATTTTGGTGAGCAAGGAGGAGATATACCATAAATTACTTTAAGAGTCTGATAAAGATTGAAAGATATCCACTATAAAGCTTCACATATGTACATACCACAAGAGTATACATGTGCCCGTTTTCAGGGACTGCTTGGAGGGCCAGAAGCCTCTTAGCTGCTGTCAAGTTTGTGAATTACAGAGGGCACACTCTCGAAAGCTTATTCATAAAACAGAAAAGCAGAGAAGAGAAAAAAGCAAAAGAGAGGATATAGTCAAGAGGGAAAGTAAAAATGAGGAGTGGAGGAATAGTGGTAGAAGTTAGAATAAATTCCAGAAATTTCATTCTAAAAATTTGAGAAGGAATCTTTGAAACCATGTGACAAAACTCATCTTTTCCTCATTAAAAAAAGGAAAAGAAGAAAAGATGAGGTACTGGGGAAATCCTTAGGACTTTTCTAACCTAGAACCATGTTTTAACAATGTAAAAATACATGCATTTGTTTCTATAACAGCTCCTGGCACGGTATACGTTTTTTAATGTAAAAATTCAGAAAACCATCAAGTATCAATCTATCATCAGAGATTTTTCTCAAGGATAACAAATTAGAAACTGGCTAATTATAAAGGCCTCAAGAATGCTTGCATATGCATTTCTTGAGTAAATTTCCAAATATGTATTTTTAATCTGGAAATTTAAACCTACCTTATACCATGCTACTTAAAATGTTGAGTTTAAGGATTCACATTCTAAGGGTGAGAAGTATAAATATTTAATTCTGTGTTTTAACTTTTCATACAGAAACTGGTTCTTTTTTCCTTGTAGTAATCTTAACATCATTTTGAACATCAATATCTTTATTTTAAGAACAAAGATATTAAAATAAAAAAGAATGAAGATATTAAAACCCTAACAATAGATAATAACAAAATATCAATTTCAATTTCCAGTGGTCATACTTTAAAAATACTTTCAGAAAACATCATTATATAGTTCATATGGTGGAACAAGTCGTAAAAGAAATGTCAGTTCTGTATTCAGAGACTGATGCTGTTTGGACACATAGGCATGACTGCACAGAAGCAAATGCAATAGAACAAATTAAAAGCTCTGAAGCCATAGGTAAATGCTGTTTTTTAAGGTCTTGCCCATTTATGGAAAAGTTTTAAAAAATGATGCCTATTTTTAGGACAATTGTAGTTCTTATTTTTAAAGTGCCAGAACATCGGGGGCTTAATCATGTAATCAAATACTGATAACTTAGGAAGTCTTTGAGCTTTCCAGCTGGGAACAAGAGAAAGTGAAGAGTTAAATAATCTAATGCTCATGAGAAAAAGGAAAACCCTAACTTTTTAATTTTGTTAGTCAGTAGTGGGGCTTGAACTCAGGGCCTAGGCATTGTCCCTGAGCACTTCCACTTTGAGCCACTACACCACTTCCAGTTTTCTTATGGTTAATTGGAGGTAAGAGTCTCACTGACTTTCTTGCCTGGGCTGACTTTGAACTGTGATCTTCAGTTCTCAGCCTCCTGAGCAGCTAGGATTTCAGGTGTGAGCCATCAGCGCCTGGCCCCTATCTTTGAAATACACCTGTCTAAGCATATATCTGCATGCATATACATATGCATACACATATGCACACTCACACACACACACACACACATACACATATAGTGAAAATTAACCATTTTCTACCTTTTTTTCTAGCTTTTCTGAGAGAAAAAGGATAGCTCCATCAAATGCTTTTGCTTTGTTAGCAAGGTCACTGTGATTATAAAGCAAAGCATTCCTCAGCCTTCTAGATTTGATATCTGGATTGTATGTCACATAGTACTGGTATAGCTGCCAGTCTCGGGGAATATCTAAATTGAAGAGATTTGTAACCAGAGTCACAGGTACTCCACTCGAACCTAGGGAAACAAACAAAAATAACAATACTTTTTCAATAAAAATTACACCATGTTAACATTAATCATACTTAAAATTTTAATTTACATCTGCATAATAGTTGCATAAAGCAAGCATTTTTAGTCAGTGGTACAAGTTAATGTCTAAAACTTGAAGCTTTGCCATACTATATTGTGAATTAAAGTACTTTCATTTGTGAAGCAAGGCAACAGAGAAACACAGAAGCAGAAGCTAATGTTCTTAACTTTGGGAGAAGTTAATGAACCCAAACTCCTCCCAAGCCTGCTTCCAGCTCTAATCCACTGCCATTCAAATCTGCTGCAGTAATGTTCTCATATGCTGCCATAAAGTCATGCTGTTCTCAGATTACAAAGAAACTGATAGGTCCTTAAAATGAACAGTATAACTCCCCAACCTCTGAGAAATCGAAAATAATCAAAAAGTAACCATACTTCTGGAAATTCTGGAAAGGTTCTATCAGAGATAAAATCATTAGGCAAATAGCGAAGGAGACCCTGAAATATGGAGGGATGGGATAGGCGTTAGGAAGGAATTACATCTTTTCGGTGTAAAAGTCAACAGGGCCTGGAGCTTCTGGTCTGTGTAGAGAGACCATATGAGTGTTTAGAAGTTCCTTCCTCCTCCAGAAATTTTTATTTACACCTAATGTGTATAGGATAAAATCAGAGATAAACATGGCATAGTCAGGACTTAGGATGCCATAAGCTCCACTCTGTCTCAGGACAAAATCTAGGAGTTTACTAAGCAGTTTCCTATTATCACAATCTTTTTTCTTCATGAGGACACACAGTCTGTATTATAGAATGCATGATTCTTACACTCTGACTTCCACAAAAGAATGACATCAAATAAGCATGACTTTTCTTTTCTCATGGAGGAAGTGGAAGCATGAGCCTCCAAAGTGGTGAAGAAGAAAAAGATGTTGTGTGTACATCAGTGTTTTCTCAGTCTCAGTATAGAACTGTTAGGAGCCAAAAGTCATGGTACTTTTTTAATTAAAGAAAAATCTCTTGTTCTTCCTGAGGAAATGCAACATAACAGCTCCTATAAATGGACAAAGAAAAGTCAACCTAGAGAATGTCAGATGAGATCTTTTAAGATTTTCTGAATCACTGTTTTCAAACTATAGCCAACCCCATCCTGTACTACAGTTAGGAAGAGACAAATACATTGCAGAATTGATCAAAATACCTAACATGTGGTAAGGTAAGGACTATTTTACAAAGCATCTTCTTTTCTCTTTGTGTGTGTGTGTGTGTGTGCACAAGTAAGTTTGCTAGATGATGACGTAACATTTAAAGTGTCCAGACAGTGCTTCACATACAGCAAATATTCTGCAAGCATATGAAGTTATTTATCTTAGATCTAGGACTGGAAATTTCTTAAGCAAAACTTGGTACCATTAAAAAATAAGTACTATGAGCCGGGTGCTGGTGGCTTATGCCTGTAATCCTAGCTACTCAGGACACTGAGATCTGAGGATTGAGGTTCAAAGCCATCCCAGGCAGGTAAGTCTGTGAGACTTTTACCTCCAATTAACCACCGAAAAACCAGAATTGGTGCTGTGGCTCAAGTGGCAGAGCACTCACTTTGAGCTGAAGAGCTCAGGGACAGCACCCAAGCCCAGAGTTAGGGCCCCATGACCAACCAAGAAAAAAAAAAGTACTGTGAATATTGCATACCTGTTTTACAGTCTTTCACATGTGCCAGTTTCTCTCGGATACAGATACCCAGGTCCATGACGTCCGGTGTCATCTTCACACTTCTTTCTGCAACAGTACTTCCAACATCATCAAAAGATACACCATCTGTATCTAAAATATGAAGTGAACACAATAACAACTCACATATCATTCTAATGATCAATAATGAATCTAAAAACTCAGATGCTTGTGAATTTTAAAACATTTTTGACTATACAAGTTTTTCACGTAAGAATCAGACTGTGAATGGAGCATTTTGTTAGAAATGAAATATGCTGAGTTAGGGCTCTTAATATATTCTTAATTGTTTATTATCTTTAAGTAGTTATACAAAGGGATTTCAATTTAACATGTAAGTATATGAGTACCATGTATTTTGATTAGTGTCATCCTTTCTATCATTTCTCCCCATCTGTCCCAATCCCACCAATGCCTTTTCATTATATTTTAAACTTTTACTTTTTTGTCAGGGAGAGAAATTTGTCTCTATATGTCTAACTCTATATGTCTAACTCCTTCTTGACAGCATGCTGAAGCTCTATACCAATGTCTGCACAGAGTAGGGCTGAAACCCGTTCTTTTCCCAGTGAAAAGGAACTATCCAGAACACATAAAATTAAAATTTCTTCCTTCCTTCCTTTTCATTTTTTTTCATGAGTTGTGGGGCTCAGGGTCCAGGTGCTGTCCCTGAGCTTTTTTCCTCAAGGCTAATGCTCTCCTGCTTTGAGCCACAGCTCTACTTCCGGCTTCCTGCTGGTTCATTGGAAATAGGTGTCTCACAGAGTTTCCTGCCCAGGTTGGCTTTGAAGTGCAATTCTTTGATCTCAGCCTCCTGAGTAGCCAGCATTACAGGTGTGAGCCACCAGCGCCTGGCTTAAAATTTATTTCAAAATGAATGTTCTTTGTTTAAGTAGTATTAAGAGGTGCTTGGGTTTTGGATGTACCTTTGACACTTTGAAGACAACAGAATGCCAAAAATCAAAATATTAAAGTATATTACTTCAAAATGATATGAGTAATGCATCTCTAGAACTCTGGCTTGGACTGTCCTGTGGTACAGATATTACATGCAATTTCCCCCATGTTGTCACTTTCACCTGCTCAGAACAACTGACCTTATCTTTCTCAATGGAGTCTGAGATTTCCAAGAAAATAAAAAATTTAATTTAAAAATCTATTAAAAATTTTTCAGTAGAATGCTATCCTGCTAATTCTGTTCTATTCTCAAATTCTATCAACCTCAGTAGATTTTGTCTATATCATCCAATGCTCCTGATTTCAAAAGATGTTGGATATTTTCTAAAATTTCAAGCTACTGTAGGATGGCAAATATTAAGGACGGAGGGTAAAGGAGAATTTATCATGTTAAGGGGAATAGATTTTCAGTTGAGCAAGGCTGAGGAAACTTGCAAAGGATAGATTTAACAGTTAAAATGGTAATTATATATGCATATACATTGTATAAATTAAATAAACAAACAAATTGAATCTGTTTTCCAAAGATGAAGGATTTCCATCACTTGCTGTTCATAAGAATGTATAGGCAACATGGAAAAAGTCTGGAAGGTGGAATGATGTCTGAATGGTACAGGGTCTGGTATACTCCCCTTTCATTGTACAAATCCAGATTACACAGGGGATGTGAAAGTGGGACTGGACAATCTCCTGCCAGAACAAGAAGGGGTGTCTAAGTGGGACCAGCGAATCTCCCACCAGGAATAAGAGAAGTCGAGCATGGGATAGGTGAGAGCTTCAGACTCTCAGTTTGGGAGGTCCTAAGTGCCTAGAGCGTTCATATTTATTAGAAATTGGAAAATTGATTAGGTGGCCAGAACAGGGCCACCTGAGGTTATGGGGTGAACTGTGTCCCTACTACATGCATATGTAGAAATCCTAACCCCTGGTACTTCAAAATCTTATTGTTACTTGAAGACAGGGTCTTTAAAAAGCTAAGTGAAAGTTATGTTATTTGAACACAGAAATGTGCAGAAGAAACATGTGAAACCAGGGAGAAACAAGCCATCTACAAGCCGCGGAGAGAAGCCTCAAAAGATACTAACCCTGCCAACATCTTGATATCAGACTTACTACCTCCAGAATTATGAGAAAATAAATTTCTATTATTTGAGCCACCTATTCCGCTATCTTGTTATGGAAACTCATAATTAATGTGCTGGGCATGCCAACTGCTATTGTGACAGTGGTACTTGAAGTGGCATGTTGACAAAGATCCCAAGACCACATCAGGGTTTTAGGGAAGAGAGCTACCATCAAACAGGGTGCTTGTCCCAGGGGAAGAGAGAAAGTCAGCAGCAGCACTTTTCCATGCTTCTACCATCCCAGCAGGTAATGATAGCATTGCATTTGGATGTCATAGATCCCTAGAGGGTTTTTTTTTCTCCCTTCAAAGTTCTTCACTGAATAGACAGAATCAGAAAACTGACTTCCTCATGACAGTGAATTTCCACTTACTAAGCGTTAGCAGCTGACTCCCTGTTAGGGAACTTCTAAGTACATGACTACGGGCATCCAACAAAGAAAGATGTTCAAGAAGCAAGCCTAGGTCTCTAAGGTTGGGTGAAGTCCCTCTTGCTCCATTCAGGTTGAACAAAGCTAAGGGGAACAGCCTCAGCTGAGCTTACTTTGCTGTGAAGTGCTGCTGGTTTCCATGAAGTCACTGCATGAGGCCATTTCATAGTCACTAGGATCAACAGATGTGGCCTATCAAAAGGGAAAACATTTTGTTCAGATACGAGTCACAAGTCAAAACATCACAAGAACAGATCAGCCACTGTCATGTCCTAAGTCATTAGATAACCATGAATGAGGAAAATAAAATATGAATGGGTAAAATTCTTGAGATGAGAAACCATGCCCATTCTAGACAAAAGGAAGAGCTATGGTCATTCCAATTTATTTATTTATTCTCTCTCTCTCTTTTATTGTGAAAATACCGTATAGAGGGGTTACAATTACATGGGCAAGATAATGAGTACATTTCTTCTTCTTCTTCTTCTTATTGCCTCCTCCTTTGTTTCCCCTTCCCATCTTCCAACCCCCCCCACTTTTCCCTCATACCCCCCCTCCCCGACCATGTTGTAAAGTTGTTTTTTGGACATAGCGACTTGTACATCACATTGTTGCAATGGGTCCACCTGTATCCCTATTTATTTGTTTTTTCCCTTCCCGTCCTCAAATTATACCAACATCAAATACAGTGAAAGCAGGGGTTATACCGTGGGAGAAGGACATACAAAGCAATAAAGAAATCATCTTATAAATATGTTAGAAACAATTGCATGAAAGAAAAAACATTTGAATACTTATCTTGGGGTTCACTTCACGTAATATCAAGTTATCTGACTTTTTTTGCTTGTCTCAGACATATATTAGTTATTGCCAATAAGGGAAACCATGGGACCTATGTTTCTTTGGGCCTGGCTTACTTCACTAAATATATTTTTTCCAAGTCATTCCAATTTATTAAACTGCTTTTAGTACATCAAGAAAATACAGTGTGAGACCCAAGTGTAAGGATGTGATCTTTGTGTTCAGGAAACCCATAAGAACAAAGGGGCACAAGTGTGCATGGACCTCATGCCTCTGTGACCGTGAGACATGAAAATAAACACAGACAGGGACCTGTAAGTACAGGTCTAGAAGATGACTCCCTCTGAATAAAGTGGCCCAATCTGTTTAAAAATGAGTAGAGAGAGAACCATTAATATTTTCTCTTTTCATGGGAAATGTTTGTCTTTGTTCAAGAAATTACTACAATCTTGGCCAGCTGCAAAAATGAGTGAAGTTAAGAGAAGACTGCTTTCATGAAAATAAAAGTAAAACGACCGCAGACAACTCAATTGAGTACTTTTACTCTCAGTCTAAAAGGTAGCTCAAGCCCGGCATGGGTGGCTCACGACTGTAATTGTAGGTACTCAGGAGACTGAGATATGAGGATTGCAGTTCAAAGCCAGCCCGTTTAGGAAAATCCCGGAGACTTTAATCTCCAATTAACCACCAGAAAACCAGAAGTGGCACTGTGGCTCAAGTGGTAGAGTGTTCGCCTGGAGCTGAAGAGCACACAGGCCCAAAGTTCAATCCCCACAACCAACAAAAGAAAAATAAATAAATAGATAAATAAATAAATAAATAAAAGGTGGCTCAAAATACTGGAAATATAGTTGAAATGTACTTACTCATGGGTCCATTCAATCTAGTCACCTAAGACTAACAACCAGTCAAACACACAGTTGTTAATGAAGCAATGGCAGTTGAATCAAAGTAGATGTACGTTAGAGATTTATGTTCCAGTTAAACAAGACTAAGTTGTATTAGTATTTGTGCTATATAATGATCTGAATATGGTCCATTTTCTCCCAAAAAATGCATAGCCAAATTATTTAAAACTCAGAAAGTAAGCTGGGCGCTGGTGGCTCACACCTGTAATCCTAGCTACTCAGGAGGCTGAGATCTGAGGATCGCAGGCAGTTCAAAGCCAGCCTGGGCAGGAAGGTCCGTGAGACTCTTATCTCCAATAAACCACCAGAAAACCCAAAGTGGCGCTGTGGCTCAAGTGGTAGAGCGCTGGCCTTGAGCTGAAGAGCGCAAGGTCAGTGTCCAGGCCCAGATTTGAAGCCCCACGACCCACCAAAAAAAAAAAAAAAACTCAAAAAATAGAAAGGAAAGACATCCTTTCTTCCAAAGCTCTTCACTGGCTAATGTACCTACATTCCTATCTTACTCACCTGAAATTCCTTCCAAGAAAAAGGTGAGAAACTTCAGGAAGACTCAACGTTGGGAGAAACTGCCTTCTTTCAGAGAAAGGAGATACACAGAGAGCAAGGCTCCATCCAGGTTGAAGACAGAGGTAGGAAAAGAAGGAAAGAGAGCGATTCACCACGCTACTTACCAGTGGCATGGCTTGGGAGTGCTCGTCGTTGGGGGTGCTGGAGTTTTGAGGGGACCTTCCAGCACTCACACCGGCCGGTTCACTCATGTTCCCACGCACTCGAAGGGCTTCTAGAGCAGTGAAGTTTGAACACCGGCTGTAGAGAAGATGCTATTAGGGCTGGGGTGGGGTTCAGTCTCACGAAAGACAGGAGGTGAGGACAGCAGGGAGGAGCGGGGGAGGCCACCGGGCCCAGAGGCCGTCCATTCTTTTAAGGCCCGGGGACCAGGGCGTTGGACGGCATAGCAGCATCCTCCGCAAAGGGCGGCTCTGGAGGAGGGCCAGGTTCCCAGGCTTCGATGGGCGCCTGGCGGTGGCCAGATGTGACTCGCGGGCAACAAGACCAGGGGCGGGGGGAGGTGCGGGCTGCGGAAGCCAGGAAAGGCCCTGCCCGGCCCCGCCCGAAACCCGATGCCCGGTGCGGGGTCCCACACCTCAGCCCTAGCAGCTCAGCCGAGTCCGCCCAACGGTGTCCTGTTTGTCCGGCCACCAGACGCCCGCGCGCCTGCCCGGTCCGGCCCGGTCATGCGACCGTAAAGCCGGCTGCTGCTGCGGCAACCCCCAACCGTCCCTCCCACCCCCCGCTCCCGTCCCGTGCGGCCCGGGTCGGGTTGGGCCGCGCCGGAGTGCGCTGAGACCCTTGGCGGCCTCCTCCCTCTTCCTCACTAAGCTCGCGGCAGGGACTAGCCCAAAGTGCGAACCCCAGGCGGGGCTCCAGCCCGTGCCCCAGGGGCTGTCGGCGGGTGGTGGTGTCCGGTCCCCCACTCCTCGACGGACCCTCCCGGGCTTCCACACCGGGTTGGTAGCCCAAGCCTCTGGAAAGGCGGAGGAAAGCCACGCGCACCCGAGCGCGGGCTCTCTGGGAGGGCATCTCGAGACCGCGGGAAAGCTCACCTTCCTCCACCGATGCCGCTACTGCTACTGCTACAGCTCCTTCAGAAGCGGCCAGAGGCAACTCGCGGCGTGAGGGGCGGGGCGGGGCTGGGCGGGACGAGGCGGCACGTGGGCGGCTCCTGAGGAGCCTCAAGGCCACGCGGGAAGCCTGGAACGACCAGGCCCCGCCCCCGCCTGAAACCGACGCTCTCTACGGGGTCCCTTGCCTCAGCCCCTGGGCTTTGCCCACGCCGCCGCCGCCCACGCGGCTTTACCCGCGCCCGCCCTAGGGTGACTAGGGCCCGGATGTCCTAAGCCCACCCATCTTGCCAGGCCACGCGGTCCTGAAGCCCACCCGCCGCTGCTGCAGACCCCCCCCCCGGGGCCCTGGGGGACGGAGGGCAATTACGAAGTATAAACGCCCAACCCGGCCAGTGTCCCGGGAGCGGAGAGGGGGAAAGGGGACACAGGGAACCTTGGGAACGGGCACACGGATGCCCATTCCTGTTGCCTCCACTCTGAAGGGGAGCGGCAGAATTCTTCCCATAGGGGAAGAAAGGGTTCAGCAGACACAGGGAACATGGGAACCAAGACTTCGCTCTTTCCACTGAACTCGGCTTCCTGAGCAAAAGGAGAGAGCCACAGCGTTGCTTGGGTCTGACCTCCCAATCAGGGGACACCGGAGCCATTCCTGCGGCCTCAGCAGATGGAGACCTAGCCCGAGATCATTGTGGATGACTGTCTTCTGTATGGAATCCGGGCCCGCAACGTGGAGAATAAAGGAATATCGATCCTCAAGGAGAATGCCCACAGTGAACACAGGAAAGAGGAGGCTGGGAACATGGACAAGAACTGGGGAAAGGCAAAGGAAGTGTTGGGAAGTCGATCTTGACCCCTAGACTTCCGAGGAACTGCTTGGCACTGCTCGTGGGCTCAAGAAGCTTCTGAGTTATCCAATGCGTTCCCCCTTCTCTTGCCCAACCTCTTCATCTCTAAACAGTTTTTACAAAATAGAGAGGAAAAGTGGATGCGACTGTGCTACCAGCTGAAGGGTGAAGTGGCCTCTGTGTCTGTGGAGTCAGTGTTCCCAGGCTAAGTCCAGCACCCTTCACAAACTGACCACGTGGCTACCTGCTAATTCCTACAAAATTTAACAAGGCAATGGGCTCATCTAAGCTTTCTTTTCAACAGCCATAGAGCAGTCCCTTATTCCAAAACAGAATATTAGGATATTCCTGATAAGGGTAAAGGCTGTGAAAAGGGGGATGGTGGTGGAGAAGTATTGGACATATCTAGATAGATCTAAGTTCCCATCCAGGTTCTCATTACCCACTAAGCAAATTTAAAGTCCTTATTAACTAACAATTTACTGGGTGGATCCTAAAGAAGTGTCATAACTTGCTAGGACCAAGCAGCTAATGGCAAAGGCAAGAGGGTGGACATGACCACAAAATAAACAGCTACTGCCCAACCTCCCTTCGCACAGTTACATAAATGAACTTAAATGAACAAACGGTTGAATATAATAACTTTTTTCCCACACACATAGATTGTTGTTTATGGGCTTGAACTCAGGGCCTGGGTTCTGTCCCTCAGCTCTTTTGCTCAAAGCTAGGGCTCTACCACTTAAGCCACAGCACCACTTCCAGTCTTTTGAGTGGTTAATTTGAAGGTGAGTTTCACAGGGACTTTTCTACCTGGGCTGGCTTCGAAACTCCATTCTCAGATCTCAGCCTCTGGGTAGCTAGGATTATAGGCATGAGTCACCAGCACCCAGATTAAGGTAGGATATTGAAAAAGGCAAAGTTCCCCAGGGCTGTCCAAAATGTGCTTTATGAACCAAAGCATGTCAAAATTTAAATTCTTCCTATCTCACCTCCAGATTTTGGAATGCCTAAGGGTAAGGTCCCAAAACCCACACAGGTCAATTCAGCATGCTGGCTCACTGGGGTCCTGGTGATCTTGCTATTCTCTTTCAGAAACACTGACTGCATCAGAACTTAACCCGCTAGAAGCAAAAGATGAGGTAGCTTATTAAATGTTAAAAAACAAAGCATAGAGGGGCATAGATATAAAAGGATAGGTTCCAAGAAATCCAAGTGCTGAAAGAGTATATTTCTAGCAAAGCCATAGACCCACAAAAAGAAGCATACACTGTCATGCATACACAATGTGCTTTCTTTACAGAAAAAAGGGGGGGCATATATTACATTTTACAGTCAATACTTTTTTCTTTTACCTGCTTCATAAACATAAAATTGTCAGACCCAAACCTGATTTGGTAAACCCCTGTTCATGTCCTCACAGATAATAAGTCCTCCTTTATCTGTATTTTCTTTTTCTGTGTGGCAGTTAACTCAGTCAGCTGCAGTCCAGAAATACTAAATGTAATATTTTAAGATAAAAAGTCCTAAGATGTGCATACCTCTGTGAACAATGTGGCAGGCTCTGATGTGCCCACACTCCTTTGTCCAGGGTGTGAGTTCAGAATGTGCTATCCACCCACTCAGATGACTGGTGCAAGACATCCCAAGACACAGAACAATGCACAAACTTCTATTACAGTAGCTTGTGATAATTATTTCATTTCATTACTTATTACTTTTTTATTGGCTTAGTTATACAGGAGACTTTGTTCTCTCTCCACACACTTACATTGTATTCCAATCAATTTCATCTAGTCTGTCACATTCTGTTACTCTTCTCTTAAAAAATAGCACTCCCAACAGGTTTTCTTGTTCTGTTTTTCATAGTTTACTCAATCTATTACCATGCCTGTTTTGTAAGTTCAACTTTATCATGTGTATGTGTAGGAAAAAAGATGGCACCTGTTTGACGATAAAGTTTAAGGCCATCTTGGAACATATCTATCCTACATAAGGGGGTACAACTGTGTTATTATCAGGAAAATACTTTTTACAAGCTTTTCTTTCAATCCTCTGTTTCAAGAAGATAATAGTTGTTCAGCCCTCTGTACTCCCCAGCTTGTTTCCAAAGATAAAATCATGTTCTTGAATAGGCTTTTCACATAGTGCATGCCTCCTCTGGAGACTCTTGACACATTCTCTGTCCTCAATGTACCAACAGTTGACAAGGGCATAATTCAGGGGACACTAAGAGTGCCCTTGGGTGCTGGGTGTACATCAGTACCATGAGAAGTGGGATGAGCCCTTTCCAGGACCAGATGGACTAAGAATGAAAGAATTAAGAAAAAGAAAAGGCAAGATATCCTGTAGTTCTGGAAATAGCAGGTGCCTATGGTTTAAGAAACAGCTCCTAGGAAGAATTAAACGTTATATAACGGAATGGATCCTTCTGAAATTCTCCTCCAAGGATCCTGCTTCAATTACAGGAAAAACATCCCAAGCCGGGCGCCGGTGGTTCACACCTAGCTACTCAGGAGGCTGAGATCTGAGGATCATAGTTCAAGGCCAGCCAGGGCAGGAAAGTCCATGAGACTCTAATCCCCAATTAGCCACCAGAAAATCCGTAGTGGCACTGTGGCTCAAGTAATACAGCCCTCGCCTTGAGCTGAAGAACTCAGAGACAGCACCCATCCTCTCCAATGTATGCTCTGCTAAAATTTGTTTTCCTACATAAGTGGTTCAGGAGCCCGGAATGCTGGCCAGCACCTGTAATCCTAGCACTTAGGAGGTAGAAGCAGGAAGACCACAAATTCTAGGCCAGCGAAGTCTACAAACTATCAGGACCCAGTGTCGAAAAAGAAAAAAGTGGGTCAGCACATACCATCAGGAACCATGATAAATTTTATGTTCGTCTAGGCCTGCTGCTGTTCAGAGCAACAATTCATTGAATGAACTAAGAAGTGTTTGTGTGAATGCCGCAATAGACTCCATTATGGAAAATTCTTTTGGAGCATACTGAATACTTGAGTACAATAAAATTCATGCATATCTGAACAACAACTATCCATTAATTAATCAACAAGCATATCCTAAATAGCCACTTTCTCCAAGTTCTCTGCTGCATACTATCAACCCTCTATACCCATAAGCACCTGGCTCCCTGACCACTCCTAGAGATACCAAAATCCATGCATTCTCTAGTTCTCAATATAAGATGGCTCAGTGTTTGCATATAGCCTATGCACAGCCTCCTACACACTCTATCTCTTGATTACTTATACCTTATGCAACGTGAACACTGCAATTACA